CAAGGAAATTCAGCATAAGAGATATCAGCTTTACCAGCATTCCAGCATGCTTGTTAGATTGATTTTGAAAGGTTTTCTCACTCAACTGCTTCACAGGGCTATTGAGGCAACCGAAATATGGTCATCTGAAGGAGCTTCACAAGACTATTAAATTGTGCGAGCCAGCTTTGGTTTCAGCTGATCCTATAGTTACTTCATTAGGGAATAATCAACAGGTATTCCAATCCTGCACATCTTTTCATAGTCCATGTCGTTTGTATATTTTTTAAGTCAGAAGTTGAAAACTTAAGTTTTTTTTCTCTGCATCAGGCTCATGTATACTCTTCTGAATCTGGAGGATGTGCAGCATTTTTATCAAACTATGATACGAAATCATTTGCAAGAGTTCCGTTCAATAACAGGCATTACAATTTACCTCCTTGGTCGATCAGCATCCTTCCTGACTGCAGAAATGCGGTTTTCAATACCGCAAAGGTTCGACCATTAGAGTGCTTAGTAGTATAACTTGTTCGACCATTAGAGAGCTTAGTAGTATAACTTCATAGGATCTGTAATCGAGGTTGAACTTATCGATGTCTACCTTTTTAAACATCCCTCTAGGTTGGAGTTCAAACTTCACAGATGGGAATGTTGCCTGCAGAATCTACTACGCTTTCCTGGGAAAGTTATTTTGAAGATATATCTGCACTAGATGACAGCTCGATGATGACTTCTCCTGGTTTATTGGAGCAGATAAACATCACTCGGGACACGAGTGACTACTTGTGGTACATAACCAGGTGATACATGTGTTTCTTTCATCCTTCTAAATGTAATTGACAAAACCTTTTGTGAGATCCTACATTGGCTGGATAGGGGACGAAGTATTCCTTACAAGAGTGTGTAAACCTCTTTCTAACATATGTGCTTTAAAACGGGAAGCCCGAAAGGGAAAACATATTGGACAATATCTATTAATGGTGGGCTTGGGTTGTAATAAATGATATCAAAGTCAGACGCCAGGCAGTGTGTCCGAGAGGACGCTTGCCCCCAAGGGGAGTGGATTTTGAGATCTCACTTCGGCTGGAGAGGAGAACGAATCATTCCTTACAAAGGTGTGGAAACTTCTCCCTAACATACGCGTTTTAAAACCTTGAGGGGAAGCCCAGAAGAAAAAGTCCAAAGAAGACGATCCGCTAGCGGTGGACTTGGGTTGTTACTATTAACTAATGTTACATAGTGAATTGGCATTTTATAATTCATAGTCAATCAGAAAAAATGCGGTAAGCAAACTTCAGAAGTTTGATTCAATTAACCAGACCTCTCTATCTTTACAGCATAGATATCAGTTCATCTGAACCCTTTCTACATGGAGGAGAATTGCCCACTCTGCTTCTTCAATCGACAGGCCATGCCGTGCACATCTTTATTAACGGGCAGCTTTCGGGTACTTTCACTCGCCAAATGCCTGCCTAGCCTTTATGATTGATAAAACTCACCATCCGCTATTATCAGGTTCTGTCTCCGGGTCAAGAAAGAACAGGAGGTTCACATATTCTGGGAAGGTTAATTTGCGAGCCGGCACAAACAAAATTGGTTTGCTTAGTGTCGCTGTTGGATTACCGGTAAGAAAAACAGAGCGAACCTAACCATTGAGCATAAAGTCTTCTTTTAGTATGCTAATCTTTGTTGTTTTCTATTAAGAATGTGGGAGGACATTTTGAGACATGGAACACAGGAATCCTTGGTCCAGTTGTTCTCTATGGGCTTCGCCATAGAAAATGGGACCTATCCTCACAGAAGTGGACTTACCAGGTAACTATAAACTTCATTTCTTGGGTTCACATTGGTTCAGAAGAAACATTTCTTAACCCGTTCACTGCCACAATACAACAGGTTGGGCTGAAAGGAGAAGCCATGGATCTCATATCTCCAAGTGGATTTTCTCCTGTTGAATGGATGCAAGCATCAATGGCTGCCCAAACACCTCAGCCGTTAACTTGGCACAAGGTAACAATATAAGAAAACGTACGATTCAAGCTTTTACACGAATGCAAACTCTGGTTGAAGACACAGATGTTACCTCTCTTGAACTTTGCAGGCTTATTTTGATGCTCCTGATGGAGAGGAGCCTTTGGCCTTGGACATGGATGGAATGGGGAAAGGTCAAATATGGATTAATGGGCAGAGTATCGGAAGATACTGGACAGCGTTTGCTCGTGGTAATTGCAGTCGATGCAACTATGCTACAACATTTAGGCCTCCAAAGTGTCAGCTAGGCTGTGGCCAACCAACCCAAAGATGGTAATTGTCCATGATAACTTCCTAATCTAGACTTAACTAGTGCTTTATTAAACGACCAAGATTTGGTTTTAGGTATCATGTACCTCGTTCTTGGCTAAAGCCAGAACAGAACCTGTTGGTGGTTTTCGAGGAAGTTGGAGGAAATCCTTCAAGAATCTCTATTGTGAAGAGATTGGTAACAAGTGTTTGTGCTGATGTTTCTGAATTCCACCCAACTTTCAAGAACTGGCAAAATACAGCAAGATTCCGTACACCCAAAGTTCACCTCAGTTGTGATCCAGGTCAGTACATTTCTTCCATCAAGTTCGCGAGCTTTGGAACCCCATTGGGAACTTGCGGGAGCTACCAGCAAGGAAGTTGCCATGCCCCTACCTCACATGCCATTCTAGAGAAGGTTCTAAGAACAAACTCCAGTGGATACTATCTAGCACTTAGTATTCAAATAGCAAGAAGATCTAGATCCTTGGATAAAAACAGCTACTAATTACTTCTTTGCTCATTTTTCTGCAGAAATGCGTGGGAAAGGAGAGATGCGTTGTTACCGTATCGAACAGCAACTTTGACGACCCGTGTCCAAATATGATGAAGCGATTATCGGTTGAAGCAGTATGTAATCCCACAACTTCTACAAGTCAATTCAACTGGGGGGGTTAACTTGATAAAGCAAAAAGATGACTTTTAGCCACTTGTCAACCATGGATTCAGTGATATGATTATACACACAGCACAAGCAAGAGTAAGCAAGCAAAGGTATAGAGCAAGAATAGTAGTGTTCAGTTTTCATCCTGGATACCTGTACAGCCAAAGGAAATTAGTTTCAAATGGTTTAGCAGCTTCCATACCATAGTGTTTGTTAGAAAAGAAAAAAGTATTTGTTTTTGTGTGGGGTGATTTGTTCATTCTAGGGTCCTAAGTTGAATCTCTCAAGCTACATTCCCTTCCATTTTAGAGGGAAGCACAAGCTTTTATCTATTTGTCTTCATGCTAGGAGGAGTTTCCTGGTGTAACATTGTGATTTCTTGAATGCCCAGAAAAAAGTTATTTATCTAGACGGAGAGAAAACAATACAACTTGTTCGTCACTTGAGTTTCCTTCTCTAAAGCTATCGAACAGTCTCCTCTTAATCGAGTCTCGACTCCTTCTCTGAAGCCCTCAAACAAAATACACCCTTTGTTCGACACTTGATGATTCTATTGTCATGACTAAATTAGGTTACTATCCTTCATAGTGGTATGATATTGTCTACTTTGAAGATAAACTCTTGTGGCTTTGCTTTTGGTTTCCCCAAAAAGCCTCGTACCAATGGAGACAGTGTTCTTAATAATTCTCGACATAATCCTCAACATAACTTACTAGAATTCATGAACTCTATTGCATGACCACGATCACGACCATGACCATGAAGTGCACAATAAAGTAACAAGGATTTGTACAAATACAACGAAGGAAAGCATACAGAATGTAAAAAATGTTGAAACATTACAACTGAACCAAGTTTTTGAAGACATAAGTACCAAGAATGAACCAACCAACCAGGAAGACATTGAAGAATGCCAAGAAGGTAAGGAAAGTAGTACCGCCCAGTGCGAGTCCAATACTGAATACCACAACAAATGGTAACAACGTCCTGATTACAGCTCCTTTACTAACCCACCGACCCTTGAGAAAGATCAGAGCAGCAAGGTTCACCACATTCCATCCACCTGTGCGAAACCCAAGTCTGTTTAGATTATTAGCCACGAAGGAATGACAATTGCAAGTCAACAGATTGTAGGATCGGTGTTGGAACTCTTGAGTGCTCCTCCGCAATGCATCATCCCATGTTGAAATTTCTCCTTCTCTGAATTCATCTTCTTCACTTCTGCGAGTGACAATGCAACAACACTGCATATCGATTGCAACAAAATCAGCCAAAAAAGTAGCTAAAGGGAAAGAGGTTCCGATCACAGTATCATGCATGGATTTTGGTACCTTGTCGCTGTTGATTTGAAGATACCGAACGACTGCGCCAAATGTGAAGTTGTCGACACACACAAAATTGGGGCCTGCGAAGTCTAAGATTACTCCATCCTCTCTGCCAATACCGATGTGACCAATGAAAGGAACGAGCCAGGAAATAACAGGAAGAGGTGTCCACACAATGCAACATGGAAACCGAGCTCGCTCCGGATCAATCTTCATATTCTGAGCGATATTTCCTTCGATCATCATCTGATTCTCAGGATCGTTGCTTGATTCCATTTCCAAAGTCATAAAATGCTGGAAAAAAGACGCTCAATTGAGTAGTGACAAAATCAGTTCGAAGGAAACCCCCGGCTATCTACAATCCGATAACGATAACAAATCAGTAATTGAGACCGAGACGAAGCTCCCGAATCTCCTCAACTTTAGGGATAGCCAAACACCAGTCAGAATAAAGAATCAAACAGGTAAAACAAGCAAGCTACGGAAAGGATTTGAAGAACAAACGAACAGTTTTTGAGGGAAAAGTGTGAGAAGTTGAAGTTACCTAATGGAACAAATTTGGTGAAGAAAGATCTTCTGAACGCGCTACTAATCTCCGATCAATTTGATCAGTTTGCGGACCGAGGGTTTTATTTTTTAGAACTGATCGGTAAATACTCAAAACGACGTCGTTTATACCTTCTTCGATAAGCTTTGAAGTTCAGAATTCAGAGCATATTTGGCTAATAGTTTTGTGATCGCCTCTCGCTCGTGGTTGAACTCCGTCGAAGTTCCGATGCCGCCGAAGCCGGTAAGCAATCCTCCAGCTGTGGTGGATTTAACCAGCAGCGACGATGAGGAGCCTGCAGCGAACACAGTTTCAAACAAACTAGCGTCGAATTCTCAGACGAGACTCCAAGAGCGCCGAGGCAGTTCTACGCCGGTTTTACTATCATTATCGGATGATAAAGCCGCTGATAGCCGCTGTTTTTGGAAAGCTGGAAATTTCGACGTCAGTCTTACCGCAAGGCCTATGCCTGCTGCTGATGGTTATCCTTTGTTCTGCGTTTAATGTTTGTATTTATTTGTTTGATTCCGTGATGCTGATTATGAAAACATAACAGGAGAATTGGAGCATGCCCGAGTTCATCCGAAGTTTCTTCATTCCAATGCTACTTCTCACAAATGGGCGTTTGGCGGTAAAGCTTTCATTACTCGAAAGCGTTGATTCTTCAGTAGCTGAGCAATATCTTGAATGTGGTTCTTCTGGTGTGCTTTGAGTTATCTCTCCTTTGTCCTTTAATTTACATTTGTTCATCTATTGCAGCAATTGCTGAACTTCTGGATAATGCTGTGGACGAGGTATGTTATTGTTTATATAACGTTTAGTGCTTCTTGAACTCATACCCAATTAAATTAACTATATGGAATAAACGAGCCAATTTTTGTTGCTGGAGTGTGAGATCCCACGTTGGTAGAGGAGAACGAAGCATTCCGTTATAAGGGTGTGGAAACCTGTCCCTAGCAGACGCGTTTTAAAACCTTGAGGGGAAGCCCAGAAGGGAAAGCCTAAAGAGGATAATATACGCTAGCGGTGAGCTTTGGCTGTTACAAATGGTATCAGAGCCAGACACTGGACGGTATGCCAGCAAAGACGCTGGGACCCCAAGGGGGGTTGATTGTGAGATCCCACATTAGTTGGAGAGGAGAACAAAACATTCCTTATAAGGGTGTGAAAACCTCTCTCTAACAAACGCGTTTTAAAACCGGAAGGGAAAGCCTGGGATCGGAGAGGAGAACAAAACATTCCTTATAAGGGTGTGGAAACTTCTCTCTAACAGACGCATTTTAAAACCGGAAGGGAAAGTCTAAAGAGGACAATATCTGGTTAGTTGTTACATGAAAAAACCCCAAAACTTCTAACATTGAAACGAAAAGTTTGATTTGGTTTGCATCTTGTGAAGTGTTGTGGTTCTACGTCCCAGATACTCGAACTTATGACTCAAGCAGGATGAAAAATAGAATATTAGTTGATCATGTTGAACAGGAGGTGCAGAGTTCTTAAGTTATGCTTCATGGCTAAAAGGATACAGTAGTGATGTAAAGGAAAGACAAAAAGAAGGAAGTCATATAGATGAAGTATTGTAAATTACTTGACTATGGTGCGGCCTTCTGTAAACACATCCATTCATCAATTTCAGATACACAATGGGGCAACGTTTGTGAAGGTTGATAAAGTTGATATAATGAAGGACAACTCTCCAGCTTTACTTTTCCATGGTATTGTGTTATTCTTGTTAATTTCATGATATGCAGTTCCATTGTTTAGTTTTGGATCTAACCACATGAACAAGTGATATTTTATGCAGACGATGGTGGGGGAATGGATCCTGATGGCATCCGGAAATGTATGAGTCTGGGATATTCTTCAAAGAAGTCAAACACAACAATAGGACAATGTAATTTCTTTTTTGCTCTTCTAGTTCGTAGCTTTACCTTATGTGAGATCCCACATCCGTTGGAGAGGAGAATGAAACATTCCTTATAAGAGTGTGGAAACCTCTCTCTAGTAGACGCGTTTTAAAACTGTGAGGTTGACGATGATACGTAACGGGTCAAAGCGGACAATATCTACTAGTGGTGGGTTTCAACTATTATAAATGGTATCAGAGCCAGACACCGAGCAATGTGCCAACAAGGACGTTGGGACCCCAAGGGAGGTGGATTGTGAGATCCTGCATCGATTGGAGAGGAGAACGAAACATTCCTTGTAAGGGTGTGAAAATCTCTCCCTAGTAGACGCGTTTTAAAACCGTGAGGCTAACAACAATACATAACAGGCCAAAGCGGACAATATCTTCTAGCGGTGGGTTTTGGCTGTTACAAGACTTTGAGATCCCACATCGGTTGAAAAGGAGAACAAAATAGTCCTTATAAGGATGTGGAAATCACTTTCTAGTAAACACATTTTAAAACTTTGAAGGGAAAACTCAAAGCGGACACAATATCTACTTGCAGTGGGTTGGGCTGGTACACTTTAATAGTAAATTCATTAGGTTCAAGTCCAGACTTTATTGGTCTTGAATCAAATGCCATATCTTTCATTTATGAAATTTATTTCTTAGTTAGTTCAGTTTTTTTCTTGTGTAAATTTTGAGTACATGAAATGTTTATCTGTCTCTTCCTAACGTTGTCTCACTAGACACATGCCGTTTCCTGTGCATTGAATATTTTTTAGAATGTTAAGCTACTTTGAGATCTCAAACCAACAGACACTTGATAGCTTTTGCTTCTACGTTCCAAAATACAAATCATTTTCAACTTCATCTTTGGATGCTAACCAGATGTTTGAATAATTTCGAAGGCATCAAAATAGTTTTCTGATTTTCTAGATACACTGTAACCAAATATACTGCTTTGGTTTTTTCTTTGTCGTGACATCCTACTCATGTGTGTTCTAGATGGGAATGGATTTAAAACAAGCACCATGCGACTTGGAGCCGATGCAATTGTTTTCACTCGTGCGATTCATGGAGGGTACCTCTTGTTCTAGAAATTCAGTAAAATATTAATTATGCATTGTCTTTGCACCTTCTCCTTTTCAATTAAATTTAAACTTGTTTTTACCATTCTCTATTCAGTTACATTATTTATTTTGCTTAGGGTACCTGTATGTACGATTTTAATTTAATATTTTGTAGTGATGTTAGTTTGAAATCTCACATCAGTTGGAGAGGGGAACGAAGCATTCCTTATAAGGGTGTGGAAACCTCTTCCTAGTAGACGTGTTTTAAAACTGTGAGGCTGACGGCGATACATAACGTGCTGAAGCGGACAATATCTACTAGCAGTAGGCTTGAGCTGTTACAGTTAGACTTTGAGTGAGCAATAATTTAAAATTTTGTAGTGATAATTTGATGTAGTAGAACCTCGATTTTCCAGAACTACTGTTTTTCTTATTCACAAGGAAGAATGAAAAATTCTTAGCCTTGTTCCAGGATTTAAATTGATAATTTGATACCAAGACTGTTTCAAACTTTTAAAGTTTGTTCAGTAGGACGCAACCTGGGTGCACACATCCTAAAAAAGTTTAGCGTAGGACATAGAAAGCATGCCTCTATTTCTTTCTTCGTACTCTGACTGACAAGGGTCAAAGTTATGCATAAATGCCATCGCTTGCCTCAAGACTTAAGAACTTAATCTCAACGTGCACTTTCTCCTAAAATTGCCGGTGTGAACATGTGCGGACTTCACTTTATTGTCTCTGCTAGATTTTTTATGTCGGGTCGTGTGAAGCCGTTGGTGGCAAGTGAAAACATATCTTGGCGGAATATTTAAACTCAAATTTCCATCATCTATATATTCATTTTCTGTTCCCTTTTCTGAGAAATGCAGTAAGTTTTGAAGTTTTTTTTTCTCGATGCTGATTTTTAATTATGTTTTCCCTTGTGTTCTTATATCAACTAGCACTGCAACTCAAAGTGTTGGCCTTTTATCCTACACCTTTCTACGGATGACCGGCCAGGATGATGTTATTGTTCCAATGGTAATATTCTTTTGTCTTAATATTGTATTTTTCCCCCTCTGGGCTCCGCCTTTGCCATCAGTCCCCCGAACAGCCAGACTTCCTACTTTCTGTTTGGTTCCATTGCAGATTGATTTCGACATTTCTGGACATTGGGCAGAACCAATAATTAATGGCTCTCAAGATGATTGGTCTTCTAATTTGAAAACTATCCTCGAATGGTCTCCTTTTGCATCAAAGGAGGACCTCCTGATACAGGTTCGTATGTATCCATTCAATTTATTGAACTTCCACAGTGGCTAAGTATGTAATTATAAGGGGGAAAAGTTCCAAGAAACATAGTTTCACCATGTAATACTAGTTTTTTATTATTTTGTTATTTTCCTTGTATTTTTTGTGGTTTCATCTGCAGTTTGAGGATATTGGACGTCATGGAACAAAAGTTATTATATTTAATCTCTGGTTGAATGATGAAGGCATTTATGAATTGAATTTCGACGACGATGATGAGGTATTTCGCATTTTATTGATAAGCTTCACTTTCACATTGTTGATGGGTGGCAATTCAAGACCTTTGGTTTCTTACAAAGGAAATAGCCTGATTTGGATGCAGTAATGGCAATGTTAGTACATTTTAGAACCATAAGTTTGTTCATTGTCAAAGAATTTGTGGTTCAAGTAGGAAGGTTTTACGTTCGTTTATTCAAACAAATGTGCAAAGCTTTCTAAATAGTTGGTTTGAGATTTTTATCTAGAGGATCATGTTCGGTGTACACTTAAATGGAATTGCATGAAAAGTATCTATAAATGTCTTTCGATCTTTGATAATAGGACATACGGTTGAGGGATGAAGCTAATCAAGGAGGTTTGAGAAAACTGCGTAAAAGCGTTGCTGAATTGCAATCACATATTTCTTATTGTATCCGCTATTCGTTACGGGTAACTTTTTATTTTAATTCTACAAATTGGTTGTTGTATATTTCACAATAATTCCATCAGCCTGAAAACTTTTGAATTTTCTCATTGTTTAATAGGCATATATTTCAATATTATATCTGAAAAGATTTACGAACTTCAACATCATCCTGAGGGGAAAGCCAGTTAAGCAGCGGTGTATTGCAGATGACTTGAAGTATTCAAAAGTAGTTATATATAAGCCTCAAATACCCATAGCCAAAGAGGTTAGTTTGAATTGTTCTACTTTAAAAAATAGTGGTTGTTATAGTTCTCTGTTCAATCTGTGTGTTGAAGCATCAAATAATTTTGCCGCTAATGCTAATTTATCACTACAAACATTGCACAGTAATCTTTTCTTACAGTAAAACTGGAGGTAGTGGTGCTAGTACGATATCATTGCGTCTATGTTCTTGAACCTTGGTGATATTTTCCCTAAAAAAACTTAGGGTAGAGAGGAAATTTGATGTGGTTATACATTGTCTTTTGATTTATTTATTGTGTGGCTTAAGGTCTCAGTGCATACAACCATTGGATTTATAAAAGAGGCACCAGCTCTTGGAGTTTGCGGGTTCAACGTGTATCACAAAAACCGACTTATTATGGTAAGTGTGAAAAGATATTTGGATATACCTTGTGTAATTATGTACAAACAACCATTTTAGTAACTGAAACATCTATGACGTTTACAGCCATTCTGGAAAGTTACTGGTGATGGCAGTTCAAGAGGGCTTGGTGTTGTGGGTATTGCTTTCTACTTATTCCTTTCCGATCATTCATCAGGTTTTTCTTTGAAGTCTTATTATTTTTTTGGTGTTGCATATCTTTTATAGGAGTTCTTGAAGCAAACTTCTTAGAGCCAGTGCATGACAAACAGGGATTCGAGAGATCGTCTGCATTTATCCGGCTCGAAACTAGGCTGAAACAAATGGTAATGGAGTATTGGTACGTAAAGTTTCTTACATTTCTTGGCCTTCTTTCAAATGCATATGGATAAGTAGCAAGATTATCTACCAAATTGTTTCACAACTTTGACATGGGATGAACTTTCTTCTCAACTTACTGCCTAAAGGCTTGAAGATATAAAATGGAGGCCTCACAGTTCGCATATAATTTGATGCTAAACTGACAAACTGGAGATGCTTTTCGTTATTCCACTTGAATCATATCATCCCTTAAAGTGGCGATACTGTTTTCTTGTTGTTGACCATTCCTTTTGATAGACTTTGCATCATTTGTGGCAGGAGATCTTGCTGTCACTTAGTGGGACATAATCCTCCAGGTATACATAATCTGCAGAAGGATCGGGCTAATAGCCAAGCGTCCATTCGACCTGCCGCTAACATTCAGAACAAAATGGCCAAGGAACAAAATGATGGTCTCCCCAAAGTTAGTATCCTAGAATAAATGCATTACGCCAATTCATTCTTTATAGCATATGAGAATCACCGTTCTTACCGTGTTTTAAGAAGTTGGACGTCCCTCGCGATAACACTGAAAACTGTTTGTGTGCCTGTTTCACATTTAGTTATCGTAATGTTTGAACAAGATCTCGAGTGAAACAAAAAACAAAATCAGGAAGTTGCAATATGATTACATACCGACCACCTGTTAAATCTCAATAGTTATCCATATGTTTGAAAGTTTTGATAGCTAGTCTTGCAGCTTCTGATTTAGTGAACAGATGTAATGCCTTTTTCTTGCTTTTGTATACATTCCAGGGTTCCAACGAAGCACTGAACACTACCCAAGATTCTGATGTCTCAGGAAAGTCTTTTGTTGATCGTATCTGTGAAGAGAATATTGAACTATTTATGAGGTATTTTATATCCTAAACCTTTCGTGCAATTTTTTTTCTTTTAGTTAGTTAAATACTAGATAACTTCAAATTTTATAAAAAAACATGTGGGAGTACATATATTTACGTTGTTATGCAATAGCTGGACCAAAATTGTTAATTCAATCCTCTTTGGGGCTTGAGTGAGATTTAGTTGTTGGAGCTCCAATTATGTGAGATCTCACATCGATAGGAGAGAGAAACGAGTGCCAGCAAGGACACTGAGCCTCGAAGGGAGCGAATTGTGAGATCTCACTTCGATTGGAGAGGGGAACGAATGCCAGCGAAAACGTTGCATCTCGAAGGGGGTGGATTGTGAGATCCCATATTGGTTGGAGAGGGGAACGAAACATTTTTTTTATAAGGGTGTGGAAACCTATCCTTAGCAGACACGTTTTAAAAACTTTGAGAGGAAGCCCGGAAGAGAAAGCCCAAAAAAGACAATATCTGCTAGCGGTAAGCTTGGGCGGTTACAAATTAATTAGTTCAGTCTTGGGTAATGTGTTGGTTGGTGTTTGGTTTTCTGCTTTTTCTTAAGAAATAACCGTCCTTTCATTGCTCGTTCCTTATATCTATTTCACAATCAGATTAAACTCTCAAGGTTGTGTTCCACAGGTGCGAAGAACATGCGAAGAACGAAATTGAATTGCAAGAACTGGTGAGTGTATATATATAGTATACATTCAGAATAATGCCCTTGTCTTCATACCTTGAAGTGATGATCAAATTTGAGGCCATGTTTATTCTATAATGTGATTGTAATAATATTGGTGAAGCTTCAATTCCCTTTGTGATAAATCAGGTTGACAGCTTAGAGAAGGAGCTGAAGGAAGCCAAAAGGAAACACGCTCAGCTATTGCTAGCTGTGGAGGCCAAGAGAAAGCAAAAGAATGTAAACTAGCTGACTGAAACGCTCCCCGACCGAGAACGTCGAACAACTGCAATGCACCACTGTTAATACATCTAACCTCTCACCTTGCCTCCTCCTGATGCACCTTTTAGACTCATGAAGGTCCACGGAATCTGGAAGAAGTCTGCAGCTAATGAACCAGACGATTGCTTTTGGTTGCTTGAATGCATTTTGGTCAGAGCCTTTGTGGGGGAGAGAAATTTCATCTTTTGCTTTTTGTTTGAATTAAAGATCCCTACCATTGTTCTTACAATGTAATGATTTGTTCTTTCTTCTTCGGAAATCATGATGTTTATGAAATGAAGTATCTTGAGTATTGAGAATCCTCAGTTGGGTATAAGATGTGCTCCTAAAGAACAAACTCTCTGAGCATGAAATCAAAATGAAATAAAAGACAACTAAACTCCTTTTACATTTTACCTTTTACATGTTTTCATCTTAGATAAGTTTTTACTATTTCATGTTGTGTCAATATGGGAGTGTATCACCGCTCACCAAAATCATGTCCACATCCGTCATGACTAAAATACCTCAAAATGTATTATAGAGGTATCAACCTAAGCCCACTACTAGCACATATTTTCGCTTTAGTTTATTATGTATCACCGTTAGTCTCACGGTTTTAAAATGCGTTTATTAGGGAGAAATTTTCACACTCTTATAAGAAATGTTTCGTTTCCCTCTCCAACCGATGTGGGATCTCACAATCCACCCCTTTAGAGAACCAGCATCTTCATTGGCACATCGTTCAGTGTCTGGGTCTGATACCATTTACAATAGCTCTCAAGCTAGCAAATATTGTTATTTTTGGGCTTTTTCTTTCGAGTTTTCTCTCAAAATTTTATGGGCTTTTTCTTTCGAGTTTTCTCTCAAAATTTTAAAACGCGTCCACTAAGAAGAGGTTATAAGTAATGCTTTGTTCCCTTCTCCGACTAATTATCACTTTTTCCTACCTTTAGTTATATGTTATTTAAATCGTTATATTCTTTTATTTGCTTATAGTCATATAATGTCACTCTCTTCAATTCTTTCAAACTGTAAACCCTAAACCCTAAACAATCCGTGCAAATTCCGAATGGTTTTGATTTGGTATTAGGTTGGAAATGGCATGGCCAGATGGCACATAGGGAGAGCTGTAAAGAATTGGCCCCCAAACACAATAGGGATTGGCCAAGTATTACCAATGGCAGCATCTCATGTTTTTTCCCTTTCTCTGCAACCAACAAGCAAACGGTACCTTAGCACTTACTCACACTAACCCTATATCACTAAACCCAAAAGCCATTTCTTTTGGAGCTTTTGTTTTGGCCTCAATTATTATATCAACTCCCAGTGCTGTCAACTCAATGGCCTTCCAAAAGTTCAAAACTTTCTTATAAATTAACCCTTAAAAACTTCAATCCAACCAACCCCTTTATTTTCTTATGAAAAAAAAAAAAAAGAAAAAGTACGGGTAGCGCGAAACTCGGCTCAAGTGTTGAAGCTTCGTAAACCATCTCATATTCTAATTAGATCAGTGGATATTGGTCAACCCGTACACAACTTAACTTATTTAGGCATATGTATTAAGAATCGTTTGGTTGAGGTGCTTTTGCGCAGATGGTTGTGTTTATATTTTTGGAGTTTGTGGGTGTGTTTTCAATAAATATAGAGATAGAGGAGATATGACACCCAAGAAAATGAGAGTACGCAAATGAACCAACCAACAGAGTTGATAGTTACTACGTATACCAACAAGATGCATCTTCATCTTTTGATGGCTAAATCATAGTAACTACAAAGTTAAGTATGTGTAGCTGTAATTCTACGTTGGGTGACCTCCTATGAGTTCCTAAAAAGCATGAAACCGAGGATAATTGATAACATTTAGGATTAAAATAATTTTGTGATGTAACGATGATGAACACGATCGATAATGTTTTAGGGTTTGTAATTAAAATATAAAAGGCCTACAAAAACAACAAGAAGTAGAGCTCTTACCCAAAGATTCACTAAAATCCTTACCTTTTTCTTTTTAAATGCTTTTTCAGAACAACAATTGCTTTCTACCCATTCTTCCTTCAACAAAAACCATTCACACCCTTTAAAAAACACTCAAAATCAAGACCCTTCTGCATAAAATTATGCACAACCACAACCACATGATGATATGTCACTCGACTGCAAATTGAGCTTAGAATGATACGACTATTGACTTATAACGTTTATGTCACAATGCTACTGTCATACCTGAGATGCTTGAGAAGGTTGAATGAAAGTCCCACCTCGACTAGTTTAGGGAGTGATCATTAGTGTGAGGTCTTTCAGGGAAGCCAAAAGCAAAGTTACAAGAGCTTATGCTCAAAGTGGACAATATCATACTATTATGGAGAATCGTGTTCATCTAAGAGAGAAGGAGAATAAAGAGAAAGTGAGGAGAGATTTTTGTGTGTGACTCGAATGGTGTCAGGTCTCCCCTCCTTCGTTATATATATAAATTAACTTAGTATATATATAATTATGTATTTTACTTACTTGTTATATATATATATATATATTATTGCATAAAAGGGTGGTAGAGCTGAAAATGCTACATCCCTATGCTATGTAATTTAAATGAATTGAATTATAACATAAGATAAAGATATGCATCATTAATTATTAAATATACTAAGCTCCCACTGCCACCACCCTAATCCCCTAATCCCTATTTCACGTGAACCCTATCTATTCTTTTTTTTTTTTTTTAATTATTATTTCTTTTTTCTTTTTTTTACTTTTCTCATTATTATTCACCCTCTTCCTCAATCTCCCCATTTTCCATTTCTCCTCCTACCCAATCCGCCGCCGCCGCTGTTACAAGTTTCCTCTTTCCGGCACGGCGGCGGCCGCCGCCATTTCGTTCTATTTTCAATGCATGCAGGTTCCTCTTCTTCATCCTTCTTCTTCTATGCAAATTATTTTTCCTTTACTTAAATTTTTTGTTTATTAATTATATCGATTTTGTATTTTTTTAAAATTTTATTATAAATTAATGACAATGACATCGAACATTTATAATTTTATGAATTCCCCTCGTTGCATAGACATCGAGAAATTGCCTCTTTTTTAAGTTTTATTATTGTTTCGAGCTTTGAATCACCCAAAGAAATATGCATTTATTTATATAAATAATCTCTTTTATGTACGGGGCGTTACATATTCTTTATGTTCAACTCGGTTATTAATTAATATTACATGCAAACCTCTGTCATTAAAAAAAAACATCATAGTATAGTGCTAATTTGTGAATTAATTTAGTATTTTCCAATAATAGAAGAATTAAAAAATCTATGAATTAAATTAAATTACATTTTTATTTATTTTTTTAAAATTAACCCTAAAATTATATTAATTTGCCTATCATAATATTTTTAACAAAAATAAAAAATAAAAAAATAAACAAATTATTTATATTAATATCTTTTAACTGTCAAATTATAAATACCAATTAAACTTGTCAGACAATTATAGAGTAGCTATGAAATGAATTATTGAAATAACAAGAATAACTTCTAATTTCCCTTATTATTATTATTATTATTATAAGAAGAAATAATTAAAATTAATTAAAATAAAGGGTTTAGGGTTAAATCGGCGGATTAAGTAGAAAAACGAAGAGAAATTCGAACGCCGGCAACCGTACGGGGAAGCAGGACACCAAGTTCCAACAATGGCGGCAAATTAATGCAAAAAATAAAATAAAAATTACAGTTTTTTTTAAATTTATTCATGAAAAATTATATACTTTGCCTGCAATTTCCACTATTTCTCTTTTAATCACAATGCCCTAACGGAAAACCGTCGGCTAAGATGTCGGGGGCTGAAAAAATTGCGTACCGGCGGTGATGTAGCTGCTGAGTGGAGCTGGGTATGACGGCGGAGGATCCAGTAGTGCGGCGGAATCGGCGGTGGTGATGAGGAGGGCTCCGCCGTCCGGGGAGGCGGAGATGGGTGGGTTGTGGTGGTGTTGTTGTTGATCAGGGCCGTGGTCGTGAAGAATGCCCTTGAAGATATGGCCACCGATGTTGACGGCGGTTTGATAAGCATATTGATCGGTGCCGGTGGGTTCGTCTAAAGTTGTCATCCGTACGCATCGGAACACCGCCGTGGAGTTTATTTCCGCCGGGAAATTCCCTATTTCAAACCCTAAAACCAAAAAAAAAAGTTTGATTCTGTAAATCATGAACAAAATCGATGTGGGTTTTGGTCAAAAACTAAAATTGAATTAAAAATAAGAAATTAATTGTACCGGAAGAAGTTGCGTGGGTGTCTCTAGGGCGTTTGGAGTCACCGCCGGTAGTACTGATCAGCCGCTCACGGCGTTTGGAGGCGGGTACCCAAGTACTTTTAACGTGGGTTTCACACAAAAACCCACGGCTTTTACAACAAGTTCTACATCGCATATGAACACAATCTTTCTTCGCTTGATTTCCACAATCTTGGCAGCTAATAACCTTCCCTCCACCGCCATCTCCGCCGGATCTCACCATCACCAGTGACGATCTCGCCGGCGAATTTTCGCCGGAGTAACCAAACCGTTCTCCACCTTGTTGCTGTTGTTCTGTTTCGAAGCTCTCATAATTCTTGTACCAAAGTAATCCGTCGGTTGGATGAATAATCTCGCCGCCGCTGCTTCCGCCGCCTCCGCCGCCTAGTGGGAAAAAACCGGCCATAATTTCACCGGAGAGATTATGCCTAATTTTGAATTAAAATCCATATCAGAAAAAAAAAAAAAAAAAAAAAAAAAAAAAAAAAAAAAAAAAAAAAAAAAAAAAAAAAAAAAAAANAAAAAAAAAAAAAAAAAAAAAAAAAAAAAAAAAAAAAAAAAAAAAAAAAAAAAAAAAAAAAAAAAAAAAAAAAACAGCCTCTGAACGGTGATCGGAAGGCAGGGCGGAGAAAAGGGTATGAATTAAATTGGGAATCAGATTCTGTGTGTGTGTGTAAAAATGGAACCTGCAACGCCGCCATGGGGAACGGTGGCGCTAACTTAAATAAAGAACAAAACGCTTTCTTCTTCGTATGTTCTGATTTTGTTGCAGAGATGATTGATTACCCCTTTTCTCTCTCTTCTTTCTCTCTCTTCCTCTTTCTATCCCATTTTGTGTTACACATTCCCGGGATGATCCATCATCTACTAAATTCCCACCCTCATCCCACGGTTTACAATTAGACACGTGGCGTTCTATGACTTGTCCTTTTTATATATATATATATATAATAAGATTAAAATTATTGGTTAATTAATGATGTTTATAATATTTATTTTATGCCATTTTGTTGCTTCTTTTTTACAATGTAATAGAAACCATAATTAACATTTTTATATTAATGTTGAACTTAGATACATTATTGATGAAATATAAGCTAAATAAAATAATTATGCAATACAAAATATAATTATATTTAAGTTGACATTAATTATATAATTTATAATTGTGTTATTTAATGTATAATCCTATAATTATGAGTTTTTTTTTTTTACATTTTTCTTTAAAATAAATATTTAGATATTTTAGAAATAAATATTAGCAGAGGATTTATGAAATAAATAATTTTGACTTTTATCATCTCAAAATTTCAAATTAGGTTGAAATTAAGTTCATTTCAATTAGGGGTTGGAGGGATTTTCTTTGAGCTATTTAAAATCATCCTTCCATTTTCTCGCTCTTAATTAAATAGTGTAATAAATGAACGTGTCCACTTTCTAGAATAAAATAGATATTTTATAATTAATTATGTACGAGTAATATTGTCGGGAAGAAGAACTTGAGGGGAGAGATGGTTTGAAACAAGGAACGCGCTTAGCTTTTTAATTCTGTTGGTTGGGTAAATAACATACATTTATGAGTATCTAAAGTGGAGAAAGCGTAAGAACCCTAATATTAGCTTTGAATCTATAAGAACTTATTAGAGACGGATATCGAGGGGAACGAAATGGAAGTAGAGATCGATAGCAGAAAAAGACGAGGAAATGATTGAAAAAGAAAGAAGAAAAATCCAAAGAGTTGAATGAGAAAGGTGAAAGAGAAAAGGAAAAGCTGTTGGATTTTGGGAGAGGGGAAAGGGAAAGGCTTGAAAGCTATGTCTGTGGTTTGGGACTCCCAATAATTGTTACCATTCCATGTTCCATCCATCCATGTCTCTCTCTCTCTCGAGCGTTGTGTTCATGTTTCCATCATCGTTGACTCTTAACTCACCCATCGAAAAAAAACAAGCGTATACTATGGAGAGGGTCTAACCCTACTTCGATCAGTGACTAGTTCTGATACTATTTGTAACAACTCAAGCCCACTGTTAATAAATATTATCCGTTTTGGTCCATTACATATCGACGTTAGCTTCATAGAACACGTTTATTAGGGAGAGGTTTTCATACCCTTACAAGAAATGTTTCGTTTCCCTCTCCAAACGACATGAGAGGACACCAAAATAGAAGTTTATGAGTGGCCACCACCATTTCACATGCTTGTTTCCCACCTATGTGCACCTAATTCTCAGGCATTAGGGTTTTTCATTATTATTATGCTTCTTCATGTTCGAGGATAAAAGGCAATCAACGTTGACTTTATTTAACATATCTAGTCAACCATACTCTAATGGATTGAATATTGTAGTTGCAGTAGGTCATAGTCCAAACCAAGCGAGGGTTAGGAAGTTGCCTAACTCAACCAACTCGACCAACTCTTAGTTCAAACTTTGGTCTCAGTGAGGTCTAGGAGTACATGCATTACCCTGATTGAGATCAGGTGAGTTTGATGAATGACGTTTGATATGACCTTCTTTAGTGTTCTGCTACATCGAGCTTGAAGGACCAAGTAGTTCACGGGCATTCACATCTCGAACAAATGAAATAGTACATGATTCACGAGCATTCACATCTCCACTAACACGATTCGAATGTCAAAATGAAGAACAAATGGTTGAGTAAAAGGTAGAAGTAGACATAGCTGTCTCCTCCCAAGTTGCCAAACCAAACCAATGTTTCATTACATTCCCTTCTTAACTCCTACGCCCATCACAGTCTCCATTATTATATCATTGTTTATGACACTGAAAATGATATCTGATGGAATCACATGCACTGTGATTATTATATTTAGGTCCACACCCTCTTCTTTGTCTCATCCTTCTGCCTTCTATTTCCTATTTACACCCTTAACCTCCCAACTTTTATCTACAAAGGGTACCTATCTCCTTAGCTTACCTTTCGTATATTTCAATAATAAATGTCCCGAGCGTCGAGCCAAAATGATAATACTAGGGGTCGTGATAATAGGAGAGCGCTGCATCGCTGACACAACTGACGAAACTAAAAGATGCACTTGATATTATCCTATTTGGGTTTTCCCTTTCGAGCTTCCTCTCAAAGTTTTTAGAAACGTATCTGTTAGGAAGAAGTTTTCACACCCTTATAAAAAATATTTTATTCTCCTCTACAACTGATGTGGGATGTTACAATCTTACTATTGGTATAACGTTTTAAAACTATGGAGGAACTTTCAAAACTAACATGTTAAAAGATATTAATTAAACTTTTTTAAAATGTGGGATCTCACAACACCCTTATAAATTAGGGGTACATGAATGAACTGATATTACATTCAAATGAGAGCGATCATGAGGATATGATAGGTAAGAAAAATTTTTAAAAAATTAAAAATTACTATTTCTACCAACAAAAGATGCACTTTTTAGTGGTTTAGTCGGAGAAACTCATGAATTAAACATGTTTTGCTTCGAGTAATTCTAAAAAGATTCGAATTGGTGTAGGAAGATAGGTATGTGTCACTAAATTGCGTGGGATTCACGGTGGCTCTTGTGCTAATTTATTCCTTTTTTTTTCTTTAAAGGAGGCAAAATTTTGGAATCTCTTGTGCTAATTATGTACGTGGGGGCGCTGGGAAAGCAATCGGTAGGCGGCAACGCTCATAAGGTGCTGGTTCAGCGGCGGAGGATACCTTGCACGGCAACATGGGGCGGCACTACTTCAAGGACTGCTACATCCAAGGGTCGGTGGACTTCGTGTTCGGCGACGTACGGTTGTCATTTTCACGCTATCACCAACACAGCTACGGCGCTCTTACCGCCCAGAAGAGGAACGGCCTGCTCCACGAAACCGGCTTCTCGTTGTGGCTCTAATCTCTATAGAAAGCTAGGTATTGTAAATTTTGGGTCATTACTTATTACTGTCAGCCTCATAGTTTCTATACTCGTATAAGAAATGTTTCGTTTTCCTCTCTAATCGATGTGTGATCTCACAATTCATCTCTTTTATGGGCCGAACGTCTTCACTGACACACCCATTGTCTGCTCTGATACTATTTGTAATAGTCCTAAACTCGATATTCTCTTCGTGAGATTTCCACTTGGGATCTCGCAATCTACCTCCATTATAGGCATAATGTCTTAGCTGACACACCATCCAATGTTCTGGCTTTGATATCATTTATAACCGCCAAAACCCACCACGAACAGATAGTATCCACGTTAACTCGTTACATATCGCTGTCAGTCTCACGGTTTTAAAAAACATTTACTAGGGAGAGATTTTCACACCCATATGAAAAATGTTTCGTTTCTCTCTCTCCAATCGATTCAAAATCTCACAATCCACCTCCCATTCTCACTAGCACATCGTCTAGTATCTGTCTTTAATACAATTTGTAACCGTCCAAGTCCACTGCTAACAAATATTCTCCGTCTTAATTTGTTACGTATTATCATAAACCTCACGACATCAAAATACGTCTATTAAGAAGAAATTTCCACACCTGTATAAGAGTGTTTCGTTCCCTTCTGTAACCAACATGGGATCTCACATAATGTTACCATGTTGACGGCATATCATAACCATCAAACACTGAATCTATATTCCAAATGTTGGACATGAGACGTTACACAAATACTTTCGAAAAAAGGAATGATAATAAAAGAAACAAACACAAAAAGAGTGGGGAGAAAGGGATATTTAAAAAAAGTGGATGGGACGTGAAAATATGGGTACCCCACAAAATGTACATTGTCACGCCTAATTCCAAAATCAAGTTGGGAGTGCCCATTATTTTGCCTTTCTTTATAAATCCATCGTGTTAATTCCACTCAATTAAGCGTGTTCGTGGGTTGGATTGGATCGAATCGAGATATTTTATAGATCCACCTCAACTGTTAGAGCTGTAAATTATACCATCATAATTCATCGCTAACACACGTGACATAATCTAAAACTAGGGTTAGTTGGATTATAACCCTACTTTTGGGTTTGTGAATCAACCCAACCCAAATCGGAAAAAAGGACTAATCCAACCTACGGTTAATTATTTGGTTCGAATCGATCGAATTATAGAATTATATGAACATTAATTAATTTATATGGTTATAGAATATTATAATTTTTTTTTTTTTTTATATTAAAAGTATGTAATTAATATGTAATGGACGATACGGATAGGAACATGTTTTAAGCGTTTGAAGCAAATGTCACATTCAAATAGGTGGAGTGGTCCCCATCTGTTTTCTTCGAGTTGACAGCGTGTTACGCACCCACGTGGTGCTGAACGCCCAGTCTGCCACGTCACCTCCACCAACAACAGCCGCGTTTGACCATTACCTTAACATTTTCAACCCCTCATTTTCCCTTTTTCTTTTTCTTTTAATTTTTTTATTCCACAGCCGCGTCGTCCTTCAATTCAGCCATACCCTTCGAACATAAAAAAAAAAAAACGAATAATAATAAATAAATAAATAATACAATAGTACACGTACAGTAAAATATTCCATTTTAATTATTTTATTAATATTAATATAAATCAAGTATTTCTTCACATTCTACTCACTTTTTTTTTTTAATTTCATTAAAAATCTGATAAAATTCAAATATTTATCGAGATATTTTTAATTTTCGTAATAGTTTTACAAAAAAAAGTAAAATTTGATTTAAAAATAATCTAAATATCTAAATATCTCTCCTATGACCGTTTTTACTGTTTTATTTTTTTTTGTTTATTAATAAATTTAAAAAATTTAAGCTTTTAATAAATATGGTATTTAACGATTTTTAAGTAAATTAGGTCTCAACTAAACACGAATAGTCAATACATTTAGGTTTGTAGTTAATATTCATAATTTATTAATTTTTTTAAAAATAATAACTTTGAAAATAAATTAGTTTAATACTAAAAATTAAAATGAATTATTTCAAGAAAATTAGTTTACGTACCCAATTAATTATTTCAAGAGAGTAAAAAAAAAAAGAAAAAAAAAAGGGAATAAAGAAAATGGCCTGTCACATCGAAACCCAATCCATTTCCAAGTGCCGTCTGGCCAGACCAGACCGACCACGCAAAGGCTTTTCCTTGCGTTGGCTTGCCTTCGCCAGAAGAACTTAGGGTTGTCAACTTAGGCTCCTTCCCAATTCCCAATTCTCACTTCCCACTTCCTGATCCTAAATCTCTGTTTCTTTCTTCGATCTTCATGGACGAATCCCCCCACGATCCCCCTTTGGATTTGTGTGAACCATCCCGTCTTCAACCCGATGACCGGGGTCCTGACCTGATGAACCTCGATCATTCCCCGACTACTCCACAGCCAGATGATTCGCAGCTGGTTCGACTCCCACTCCAGGTGGCTGGACCTGTTCTTGCTGCTGATTCTTCCGCCTCCCCTAACCTGAATGCTAAATTCAAGGATAAGAGTTTGGAGATTCGGCGGCGAGGTCGTCCTCCTCGCGGTCAAGTCAAGGCGGCTGTGGCGGCGGCGGCACCGAGGCAGAAGAAGGATGAGGAGGATGTGTGTTTTATATGTTTTGATGGTGGGAGCCTTGTGCTCTGCGATCGACGGTGAGTGGAGTTTGTTTCTGCTAATTTGTTGTGGTTCGCCGTGAGTTTCGAGGGCTAGAGGAGATTTTTTTACTTTGGATTTATGGATTCTTTGCTTTGCGTTTTCGCCTTCTATTTAGGGAATTCCGTCTCGATCGCACTTTTGTTTGTTGATTAGTTGTAGATATTGAAGCGGAGAATTCGCTATTGATATATAAACACGTAGCTCGAATGAATTTATCTTGATTTAGTTTGTGCATCTAAAGTGGGAGAAAATTTCCTCATTGAGCCTAGTGTTACAATTTGAACTCAATTTTTTCCCGTTTCTTTGTTTGCTGTGGACGTGCGGGCTTGTGGTATATTTGAATCGTTTTCCTTTAAGAAATGGTTTTCATTTATTGTAATTTGACAGTGGGTGTCCAAAGGCATATCATCCATCGTGCATCAAGCGAGATGAGTCATTTTTTCGATCGAAGGCTAAATGGAATTGTGGTATGTAGCTTTATGCTTTTGTTTGATTTCTGGGCGTTGGTTTCCATACTCCTAGTAGGATTGGACTGTGGATGTCATTATAATATTGCCTACCCGACAATGAAAGATGCAATATTTTTCATCATTCTGCAGGATGGCACATATGCACAAAGTGCCAGAAGGCTTCCTATTATATGTGTTATACGTGCCCCTTTTCTCTTTGCAAAGGATGCATTAAAGGTGCTGATTACCAGTGTGTTAGGGGAAGCAAAGGGTTCTGTGGAACTTGTATGAAAATAATAATGCTTATCGAGAAAGCCACAACTGATGGAGAATCGGTATGCAAAATTCTATATCATCTTCCTGTCTATTTTTATTTCTCAAGTCTACTTATTCTTCCAATTTGATAGTGGATAATATGAAGAAATACATTCATCATGTGGCCCTGGATGTACACTCATGTAAAACCATCTTTGCTTTCTGTTTCACTCAAGTGATTCGTGGTTTTAGATTAACATTCAATCATCTAATTTGCGTGGCAATAAACTCATCTCGATGTTCAGAGTTTATTCTTGTATTTGGACCTTGTTATGAGATATATGTATATATTAGCCATTTTCTGTACGACTGTTCCTGGTTTATGCCTTATATTTTGTTCTTAACTCACAATAAATTGCTCATAAAATATGCAGGTCCAAGTCGATTTTGATGACAAAACTAGCTGGGAGTATCTTTTTAAAGTGTATTGGGTTTATTTGAAAGAAAAACTCTCTTTAACTGTAGATGAGCTCATTCGAGCTAAGAATTCATGGAAAAGAAGCATTATCATGGATCAGAAGTTGGCTCCTAGTTTGCTTCATGATGGTAGTATTGATAAAAGCCATGAAACTCATAATTCATTTAGAAGCCCAAAATCGCAAAGGAAAAGGCCTAACAGGCAACATAGCTCTCCTAATAAACTCAGTTCTACAGTGGACGTTCCAAGTAGTAGTGAGGGGACACTATTTTCTGGAAGCACGAAATGGGCAACTACAGAGCTCATGGACTTTGTTGCACATTTGAGAAATGGTGACACAACTAGGCTTTCGCCATTTGATGTACAAGCTTTACTGCTGGAGTATGTGAAGAAAAATAATCTTCGCGATCCTCAACTGCAATCTCAAATTATTTGTGATTTGAGGCTTACCAATCTATTTGGGAAATCACGGATAGGTCACTTTGAGATGCTAAATCTTCTTCAATCTCACATCCACATAAAAGAAACTGCAGCTAATAATGTAACCAACACAGGAGCTGGTACTGTGATCGATCCAGTTGAAAGCAAAGAAAAGTATGATTGTGAAGTAGTGGATGATTGTGAAAACAAGCATAAAACACGAATGAAAGCTGATACTAGCAGGCAGCAGCTAAATGCAGATGAATATGCCGCAGTTGATGTTCAAAACATTAACTTGGTTTACTTGCGGCGTGATTTGATAGTGAGCCTAATTGATGATCCTAAGAAATTTAATGACATGGTTGTAGGCTCAACTGTGAGAATACAGATTCCGAATAATGATGAAAAGCATGATTTTCATAGGCTTGTCCAAGTTGTAGGTATTAATATCTAATATTAATGCTTGATATGACATTGAATTATTATTTTTTACCCTCCGTCTTAACATTTTGCCTATGTGTACAGGCATAAGCAAGATCCCTGAACCATACACCGTCGGTGAGAAAACAGTTGATGTGATGCTTGATATATTGAACTTGGACAAGAGAGAGTCTGTGTCCATCGAGGGGATTTCTAACCAAGAATTTACTGAGGTTATTAACTTACTATGTCAATTGAAAATTTGATATTTTCCTTCGATCTCTTAACCCTATGACTAGTTTGAAGTCAGTTGACTAATTTCGTAATGGGGGTGACATATTTATTAATTTCATGCAACTTAGATTCAATTCTCATGCTTAATTCTGTAATTGCTTTGGTTTTCATCATAAGTGAGCGCATATCTATTTAAATTGCATGCAACACTGAATTGATCTGTCTATGAAGCTCTCACTGGCTGGTTTGTAGTTGATTTGTTTCTGTCTGTTTATAATGTTTAAAGAACATCTACATCTTTTTGTCATACGATTTTGCCTCTAGTTTAGGCAATTTAATGTACATAACGTTTCCGCACATTCTAAGTTGGACCCTTGCCTCATTCTAAGGATTCACATCTTGTCTATAAAACATGACGACTTGGGCGGGAGAATCCCATATGTAGTATTTCCACATGTTTAGTGTCAAATATTGGTTTCTTCTTTTAGTTTCCAAAGGGTGACTGAATTATCGTTTATATTGGAGACTGAATGGAATTTAGATTAAGAAACTCAACGAACAAAGTGAACTTAATTTATGGTTAGAAAACTTTTTATGCAAAGATAATTGCTTGGATATTCCACTACATGTATCTGGCTCAAACTATTTTGACTTCTTTAGGTCAAAATAGTCTTATTGGTTGATGGTCATTGGCCCCTTCGACATGATATGAGAATGTGATGGACATGATATTGTGTCATTATCAGTTTTTCCTAAAAAATGTGTATGCATTTTACCCTTCCACTGGGGTATTGATGTACTAGTATGTACTCAGGAAGAATGTAGGCGTCTGCGCCGGAGCATAAAGTGTGGGCTTGTCAAACGATTCCGCATTGTAAGATTTCATATTCATAGACTTGTGCCTTAAACTTCTATAGAGATGGCCTTGCCTATTCAAAGTTTTGTTTTTTACTGCAGAGTGAAATTCTGGACAAAGGAAGGGAGCTTCATGCATTGAAGATTAATGATGTGAGTTCAACCCCCACATTTGTCAACTATGAGACTTAATTACGTACTGGTTTTTGGTTTCTATTATTATTATTATTATTTTGGGGGGTGGGGTGGGGGGGGGGGGGGGGGGGGGGGG